TGACTACTGCTGCTACTCTGCTAGGGGTTAATCCCCAAACCCTAACAGGCGGGGCTTTAGAATGGCGAGTGACAAGTTCCACTTTTTCTTCTGCATTTTAGTGATTAAAGGGGTGAGGGGAACGCACCCCACAGGGGATTAAGCTTTTTCATATTTTTTTTCTTAATCCCATGGAATCTATTCAAGTTCTCACAGAATTCTAAAAGTTTGGTGGAATTCAGTTTGAAAAACCCAATTAAAAACTGATTTAATTTTTTTGCATGGAAGAAAAAGTATATAAATGAATTGATTAATTTATCCCTGTTGGATAAACTTCCAAAATCCTGTTTTTTCTCTCTTTACAATGAATATGTTCCCTCAAGTCGAGTTTATCTAGTGGTACAAAGATGAGATTAATTTTTACTGTCATTTAAATAACACTGCATTGCAAAACTCACTGGCAATACAGAATGAGAATGATACCAAAATTCGGGATCTGCATAGAGGCCCAGTAGAAATCTCTACTACATCCTGTGACTTAAGCACAGATGACCTAAGTTACTTTTAGTTAATGTGGTTTTCATATTTATTCTTTCCTCCCTCACAGGTACTTTAAGTCTTCTGGAACTTGGAGAGGATTACACATTCTCCTTGCCTTGTGCATATGCTCGGTCAATTTTGACAGTCCCCTGGGTAGAACTGGGAGGGAAAGTCAGTGTTAATTGTGCAAAAACTGGATATTCTGCAAGTATTACATTTCATACCAAGCCTTTCTATGGTGGCAAACTTCACCGGCAAGTATTCCTGCTGGCAGGACTTTTTTTTTAAAAAAAATTTTTTTTACTGCTGTGCAATATTTATTGTAAATTGATTGCGTGTGTTTCTGAAATGCTCTTGTAACAAGATACTAGACATCAAAGTAATTATGTCTCAACTCATCTTTTTGTTAATGTTGAAAACTTGGAAAATGAATCGAAAGAAGTCAAATCATTTTTGTAAAACGCTTTTAAATTTAATTTCAAAGTAACCTTCGATGGCTTAACAAAATTATATAAATTTTGTCAGATTTAAGTTCCAAGCAAAAACATCCAATAAATGCCTTTGCTTATCTTGACTCTAAGGCCATAATTGCCAAACAGTATGTCTAGATAGGTATTTTCTTACTTTCCCCCCAGCTTTTAAAAAAAGAGGAATAATGGTTTCTTCAACTTTATTTGAAGAACCTTAATGTATCATCTATTCTGGAGCAGTGGTCGCCAAGCGGTGGGCCACAGCCCACGAGAAAATTTTGGTGGTCCGCAGAGAAATGTCACCCCCCAGAGCACACCCCCCAAGCAATTAATCCAGGCTGTGGGGGAACATAAGGCTGCGCTGCCCACATGGCACACGGGAACACAAGGCTTGTGTCGCTTGCATTAGGAACAATACAAGGTAGTGAGAGGAGGGGGGAAAGGGCAGGGGGGGGGAAACTTGCCTGGCCACCGGGCTGCTTCTTTCTGCTTCTTTCTGCTTCTGCTTTTGGCTGCATGGAAGGAAAGCAGCAAAAGCCTTTCTCTCCCCCAAACTCCGCCAGAAATGAGACTTTGGGACCCTGCAAGGAATTCTGCTCCAAGAGGCTGCGCCGGCAAAGACTCATTTCTGGCGAAGTTTGGGGGGAGAGAAAGAAAGACTTCTGCTGCTTGTGCTGCTTTCCTTGCATGAAGCCTGAGAATGGAGCTCAAAGGCAGGCTAGGAATGTGGCTGCCTTGGAGGGGATGGGGGTGGTATGTGAGGAAGAGAGAGAAAGAGAAAGAAAATCACCAGCCCTCGAAGTTAGATGGTTTTAGGAATATTTGGAAATGGTCTTCCCAGTCCTAGTCTGAAAATACTACAGGTATCCCAGGTTACACTGTGCAGTTTTCTGCAAAACCTGATTTTCTAGCAGCCAATGGTTTACCAAGCCCGAATCAAGGTTTTCCAAGGGTTATTGTGCCAGGTTTGAAAATTGCTGCACTCATCAGAGCCTTCTCTACATGCCAGTATTCCAGTCAGAGGAAGCTCTTTTTGGCAGTGGTGTCTTCATTTCGGGATATTTCTCCCAGCCCCTGAAGTAGTGAAATGTAATACACTTAGTCTATTACTTAGCAGCATAGAATTAGATTAAACAAAAAAAAAAAATCAACTGCTTGATATCTTCATTCAAAATGGAGAAAATGTTCCAGCGACTGTGATTCTATAGAAATCTGTCTTTCAGAAGGGGATTGGTGTGACTTCCAGTTCGGGCTTCTTCAGCAACGGACCGAAATCCGCGATCATGCGCGGTTTTGATCCGTGCTCACCGCTGGAGAGCCCTGAGCCGCCTAGATTTGGGGCTGAAGCCACCCTGTAGAGGTGGTGAAGAAGGGGGAGCGGGGTTGAGGAGAGCCGCATCTCTCTTCCTCGGCTGGCCATTACTCCCTTTCCCAAAGGCGGTTGCAGCAGTGGTCAGAAATGGCCACCTCAAAGAAGAACCCAACCGGACAAGGTTGTGCAGGAGGAAGTTTAAAGGAGAAAGTTTGACTGACCCGGTTGAATGGAGAACATCTATTTAAGGTACCTGGAACCAGAATTTTAAAGACTAATACTATTCCTAAAAAAGATCTTAAGCAGCGAAAGAGAAAGGGAAAGGAAACGGAATTGGCTTTTTTCCCCTCTCATATTGACAGTTTTAATTGACTTGGAACGTTAAGAAGAAGAGATTCAAATAAGAAATTGATACTAATCCACTTTGACATTAATAGGCTATTTTTAGCTGAAAATAAAGTTTCAAAGGGATAAAGATTCTTGGATAATTTAAAATTTTTCTTTAAAAAGAAAGAAAGCAGAGAAGGGAAAAAGGAAAAAAGAGGATGGAATCTGGAAAATGGAGGAGACCACCTGGAACTTAAAAAAATCAATAGTGGAATTTTAACAAGGCTTGCAAAAGATACATTGTAGCTGAAACTTTGTTACAAGATAACAAATCCCCTGGAAAGAGAAAGTGAGAAAAGAAGCAAGAAACAGTTTTGGATTATTGGATGATTCCTGGAATTTTGGATGGTGGATCCTAATGAAACAAAATAAAATCAATTGGGGGTTGTCTAAAAATTTTTTAAATGGCATCACTCCTTAAAGAATTAAAAATGAAACTTAAAGAACAAAAAGAAGCACAAGAGGGAAGAGGATCTTTTGGCTTCATATTTCAATTTTTAAAAATGGAGATTTTGAACTATGAAAAACAACAAGATATGCTGGCAGAACAAGAAGGGCGGGATAAAGAAGAAGCCATCTTTAATGACCAAGCAACTTTAAGCGGGGTAAAAAAGGGAAAGGGGGGAAAGGGAGTTAAAAACTTAAGCAACAACCAAAAAAAGTAGTTTGAAAAGCAATCATAATATCAAGAAGAAGCAGAAGGAAGGATCACAGAAGGGAGAATCAGATAGAAAGGGAAATAAAAAGGGGAGGGAGAAGAAGAGAGGGAAGAGGGAAAGGAAAAGAAGCTACAAAGGACAGAAACAAGATATAAAGGTACAGGAAAAGCATACAAGAATTAAAGGTATAAACCTATTTAAAAGACACAGAGACAATGGTTAAAATTTAACTTAAGGAGAGGATTCTGCAAGGGTGCATGGGATAGCATTGTTATATTAGAGATAGAAAAGGGTTAGAAAATATGTTTAAATGATTAAAGTGGTAGAAAAAATTTGTATTGATGTGTAATGGAATATTTGTAAAGAGAATAAGGCTCTCAATGATTTAAAAAGAAAGTTAAAAAAAACCTGAAAAGAAACATGGAAGATTTTTATCAGTTGACAAGATGAATTTGAATAAGAATAATAATTTTATTGACTACTGTTAATAACTATTGTTTTGTTTTTTTTATTTAAAGACAGTAATAAGTAAAATATGAAACATAGATGATTAAAGTGAAAGACAACTGATATTACTAGGTAATGTTTGTTAAAAGAAATAGAAATGTAAAAGATTGTTACTAATATTAATGGCAGAGCTGTACTTGAATAGAATAATTATTCCATTTACTATTGTTATACATATATACACAGATATATATGTTTTCTTAAATTTTCGCGGGTATTTATATGTATGGTATTCAGCTCTGTTCGGGTATTTTCCCAAGTCATTATAGTTGTGCTTTTAAAGTTGTAGCGACGTTTCAGCAGAATCTCATCTGCCATCATCAGGCTTGTGATGATGACGAACACAATACACAAGCCTGATGATGGCAGATGAGATTCTGCCAAAACGTCGCTACAACTTTAAAAGCACAACTATAATGACGTGGGAAAATATCCGAACAGAGTTGAATACCATACAGATATATATACATATATACTTTTCTTTTTTAAGAATTTAGTGTGTATTTTTAAGGGAATTCTGTACCAAGCAGAATTTGATTGAAAATAAGTATGTGTTATAAAATAGAGGTTAAAAAAATGAATGTTATAACTATAAAGGTGTAACTTAAATTTTTAAACAAGATTTGAAAAAAGATACAAAGTTGTTACACTCCAGTCTAGTAATTACAGGGGAAAATTTGTTTCATGAGAAAAGATAATATGAAATTGTAAACAGGACAGACGAAAGTATAAAAACATTGATTAGAAAGATTTTAAAAATTAGAAAAAGATATGTAATTGAATTAAGAAAGGAATGAGATAATTTAAAATAAGGCTATAGGAAGTAAAGAAAGGGAAAAGCTGTTGAAAAAATTACAAACATAGTTATAAGATATGGATTAGAATGTATAAGATGTATTGAGTTTATGTCTGTATGGAGTAGTGATAACCCGGGGTCACGCTGTTCTCAAAAAAAGATATTTTATTTGTATTTATATGTTTTGTGAAAACTTAAATAAAACTTTTATTTAAAAAAGTGGGGGGTGGATTGGTGTATGGTGTTCTATATGTAGTTTGGTCCTAAGTCATTCTACAGTGAAAGGATCATAGTTTGAGAGAAAAACAGAACATTCTAGAGCAGGGGTGTCAAACTCAAGGCCTAGGGACAGGATCTGGCTCACAGGGTGCTTAGATCTGGCCTGGGGGCCCACCCTGGAAACAGCAAAGGAGCGGCCTGCAGTGTCTCTGCCAGTGAAAAGGGAGCTTGGGAGTGTCCCAGGCTCCATTTTGGGCCACAATGACCTTCTGAAACCTTCTGCCTGTGAAAATGGAGCTCAGGGAGGCCACGGCCCTCCCAAGCTGTTTTTGCTAGCAGTGGCCTGCATTGTGGCCCAAAATGGAGCCCAGGAGGGCCGTCATGGCTGAAAACGGAGCCTCAGTGAGTGACATAGAGCCACTCCCAGGTCAAACACAACCCTGATGCGGCCCTCAATGAAATCGAATTTGACCACCCCTGTTCTAGAGGACAATGGGATGGTCCATACCCAGAACAAGTTTATTGAAATTGGACCCTTTGCAGGAAATCAAAATATTATAGCATTGTTGCACAGCAGCATTTGGAAGTATGTGTATGTGTAGCTCCCATTTTCCATCTTTGGTTTATTTTTTTTCTTAGCTATTTTGTTTGTCCTTAGATATCCATCAGAGATGGAGAAAAAGTATTCTTTAAATACTGCTGTAATAAGGAGTAGTATTTTTCTCAGGCATTATACATTCATTGTACATTTCATTAGGGAATATATTGCTAATGGTCAAAATTCTGCAAGATGAATTGCTTCTTTGCTTAAATAACATTTTGTGATTTATTTTCTGGCTGTGGTAGTTTCATTTCTACTTGCTTATACTAATTAATTGTATTATTTGAATAGTATAAGTTCTGTATAACATTATATAAAATGAATTTAATTGATTTATACTGTAGGTAGAAAAGCAAGATCAGTGTATCAGAAAAACTTGCAGTTTTTTTTATCCATTCCAAATTTTACTGCCTATTAGAATGTATACTGAGTATAATATCTCTTTTTAAGAGGAATCTTAGCTACACACTACAATGTAAGCAAAAATACTGTTTTGGTGGTATATTAAACTGGGCAAAGAGCCATTGTTATTTTATTCATTATACTTTTAACATTACAATATACCATCTGCTTTTAACAGTATATTTATTATCCTGTATTGGGTGATTATTAATAGTAAAAACAATTTTATTTATTTTAAAATAAAAAATTCATTTTACATAAAGCTTAGTGAAGAGAATGCAAAAAATGAACAGTTTTCATTAGCGTGCGAAATGCAAGTTGTTGTTTTTTAATAGGGATATAAATAAGGTTACAGGCAGTGGCCATTTATAACTCTGCCAAGTTCTGCATTACTCCTTGTTTATAAATTTGAGCAATATATCATGGTCATCTCCAGGTTATCTTTTATCACATCTTTTTTTCTGCTGCTTTCAGGGTCACGGGTGAGGTGAAGCAGAATGCTACTAACACAGTGGTTTGTAAAGTACAAGGTGAATGGAATAGTATCCTTGAGTTCACTTACAGTAACGGAGAAACTAAATGTATGGATTTGTCAAAGTTGTCTGTGACACGGAAAAGGGTGCGGCCCATAGAAAAGCAAGGGCCATTCGAATCCAGGTGAGAGAAACTGTTTTCAAAATGATCTCTTAATGGAATATAACTTCAGGTGCCTACAGTATGTAGCTCAGGCTATACGATTCCGCTCATGTTCAACTGAAGATCATTATTTGACGTGCCAGCATTTGTGCATGTGTTTTGTATGTCTATTACAATAGGCAAACTATGGCCTGCAAGCAGCATGTGGTCCTCAGAATACATTTAATTTTAGGCTATTGGATCTGGGAGGAGGGACCGACCTTAGCTGCTTTTAAAGAATAAAACTGCAAGCAGTTCATTGTCTAGAGGCTTTTTGCTCCCATTCATGAATTTAAAAACCTGAATTGCACCTACTGAATGGACTGGAAAATTGGCTCTGACCCTTGCTGGGATATTACTGTTTTTCTGATGATGGACCTTCCAGTATCTAATTGGTTGGAGGAGCAAGATGCAGCCCTTCACCAAGGAAAAGCTATCTACCCCTTTCCTAGGATTGTTCATCAGTGCAACTTGTCCATTCAGTGCCACTGTCTGTTTCCAGTTGTATCTAACTTGATATATAATGGCAGTGATTTACTCATTTTTATCAAGTGTGTCCAATTATTAAATATTGAGTTTTCCAATCTTTTATTTTAAGAGAGGCATATCCATATAGGAAATGCAGGGAGGTCTTAACTCTTAAGTGGGTGATAGTTTCATTCTAGTGCACATTGAAATATAACCAATTGTTGGGCATTTCCTTGTGTCTTTCAATCCCCCTTTACATAAATCAGAGAGGAATCATCCATTCTCTTAATTGGAAAACTAACCACAGATACAGATATCACATGTGTCTCCTCAGTGACAACAATTGTTTTTGGAACATGGGGTTTGTGGTGAACTTGAAATACAATGCTAAATTCCTTACTTTGGGTGGGGGGGACATAGTATCTTGGACATTGCAGGAGAATGCTGGAAGAAATTACACATGGGCTGCTTGTTTAGTGCTAGCGTGAGATTTCAGGGGTTAGTTGGACAGAACTTTAAAAGATGACCTTCTAATCCAGTGTTTCTCAACCTTGGCAAC